CCGTGTAATTATTTCGGGTAAAGCTAGCCGTGCAGGCGGCCGGGTGCCGGGGACGCAGCCCCGCCGCTTCTATTACTACACATGTGGATTAGGTGTGTCACTGGAGGTGGGTTTTGAGGTCTCACATGCTCAAGCCAAAAGCCAATTCCAGGGCCCCACTCTCTTCCTGCTGTCCGCTGATCTAGATGTAGAACTCTCAGCTACCTCTCCAGCACCAGGTCTGCAGCATGCTGCCATGTTTCCCACCATGATAATGAACTTAACCTCTGAACAGTAAGCCAGCACAAATTAAATGTTTTTCTGTATAGGGGTTGCCATGATACTGGTGCTTCTTCACAGCAATAGAAAATCTAAAACAGTACACAACATTTTTCTTTTAATCTAGTTGAAAATTTCAACAACTTTATTAAATATTTACCCTGCTTCTTCACGTCTTCATTTCAAACTTTTATATCAATTATAAAATGGTTAAGGATATAATTCCCTAGGTGCTTCCTTATGGTAAGATAATAAATCATTTTTTTCTTGGTATCTTAATTTATCACCAATTTGAGGAAAATTTAATAGAGTTGGTCTATCCTTTTAACCATCCACTATCTCAGCAGTTTACTCAGAGGTCTACTATCAGTTCTGCAGGACCTGCTGTGCATTTATTCTCAAAGAGATTAACAAGTCAAGCTCAGAGTAATATAAGGACAAGCATTACCACAATAGCCTCAATTATCAAGAACTTAATAAATAACCTTTGCGGTGCTGCTCTGAAACAGGTGTTTGTTTATTTTGGTGGTGCTAGAGATGAGAATATGAGCATGCTAAGGAAACCACTACCACCCTGAAACAGATTTCTGATGGAGGAAGGTCATTGGTTAATTATAATAAAGAAAATGCTGGGAGGAAGAGGAAGTGAGCTCAGACTCGACAGCTCTGCTCTCTGGAGCAGATGCCATGCTCCCCTCTCCCAGGCACATGCGATGAAGCTCCGACCCAGAATGGACGTGGGCTAGAATCTTCCCGGTAAGCGCAACTTGGGGTGCTACAAACATTATTAGAAATGGGCTAGTCCAGGTGCGAAAGTTAGCCGAGAAGGGGCTAGATATAATGGGCCAAGCAGTGTTTAAAAGAATACAGTGTCCGTGTAATTATTTAGGGGCATAAGCTAGCGAGCGGCTGGGGTGCTGGGGACGCAGCCCCACCGCTCCTATTACTACAGATTTCTTTAAAGAATTATTTTTTTTGGGGGGGGGGGGAATTATGTGCCCATATACTACAGTAGATATACTTTCTACAAGTCAAACTATGCCTACTTGGTCCCCATGAATCTGATAGAATTAACCTATTACTCTATTTACTCTCCTCTTGATCAGAGGCTCAGAGGTTTCTGTCTTGGCATAGTTGTTTCTGCTGTTAAAATAATTGTTTTCCTCAGTCCTGATTTTTAATAATAAAATACGCCAAGTAGATAAACTCCTCAAAGCCATCTGTGAGAGAGACAGGTATCATAATAGCCCTCCCCACTGGAAAGCCATAAACTACATAAAGTATGACATTTTGGACACTAGAAACTTACCTGGACATTAATGGCAAATAATTCTTACTTTAAAATTTTTATCTCAAAAGAAACTGCTTACAAAAACATGTGAACATTAAATTCTTCTGAAGTCTGTTTCAGATACTATTTATGTTGGCTAAATCTGTGATCAAGTTTCTAGTTCTAAATTCCTGAAGAAGAATCGGAAGCCTCTCCCAAAGCATAATTAGAAACTACTTAATGATTTGCCAGATTTAAGTAACGCACAGTAATGTTGAATCCTGTACACACATGATGTGGGAGTCTGCTGTGTGCTGTGATTAACATTAATGAATAATCAAACTGTCTTGGCCTACTGATAGGACAGAACTTCGATAGGCAGAGAGACTGGACTGAATGCTGGGAGAGAGAAGGGCGGAGTCAGAGAGATGCCATGGATTCACTGGAGACAGATGCTGGGAATTTTACCTGGTAAGCCACTGCCATGTGGCGATACACAGATAAATAGAAATGGGTTAAATTAATATGAGTTAGCAAGTAAGAAACTAGAGCTAATGGGCCAAGCAGTGACTTAATTAATACAGTTTCTGTGTGCTGTGGTTATTTTGGGGATAAGCTAGCCGGGCCAGGACGAATAAGCGCCTGGCTCTCCTTGTCTCACACACATACACATTAGTGACCCATTATAAAATTATGGAAAGTATCTAAATGTCTATCTAAAAAGGAAGTCTAATAACATTTATAACAATGATATATATGAAAAATGCTAATGAATCACTTCCACATGGTATATATAAACGATTTTATCCCAAAGCATGTATAACTTAAATATAATTTAGGAAAACAAAAAATAAGTGATCGGATGAACAGGATGAACAGAATGAACAGTTCATACCTAACAGCCCAGTATCTACATCATCTTCATTTTTCGAATTTTCTGCATGCAGTTCTGTAAATACAAAAAGAGGTTTAGGTAGCAGAGTAGTACTTCTTCAAGACACGAATATCCAAAGGCTCTGAAGACACTGTTCAACTGTCAAAGGTAGCCTGAAGTCAGAGTGAACTTCGACTTCTGGTTTACCACCTTCAGCAAGCAAATACCTTTACAAGAATAATTGTTTATTTACAAGAATAACGTTTATCCCCTGGGTTGTGTTGAAGACCGTTTGTAAAAAAGAAACTTAAGAGCACAGTAGACTCTGACTTTAGTTCCTTGCTCCAGTCTCCAAAATACCAATGGCCTCTGTGATAAACTTGTACTTATGAGCATATAATTTTATATTGCAAAAGACAAACTGTGGGCACTTCAGGGTTGAAGTGAAAAAAAAACCGGTCAAAGGTGTTGACAGAGATTTGAAGCAATGGCAGTCAAACTTTTAAGACCCACAGTTAACAGCCCAATAACATACTATGAAGAAGTAATCTGTCTGTCTTCCTAACAAAAATCCCATCAAACAATGGTAACCTGTCAAAGGGCTACCTGCATCCCGTTAGGGGCTGGGAGAAAATAAATCAAAACTGGGATTAAATAGATTTAATTTTCAGTAGTAAATGTGACAAAGTGTTGAATCCTTTCAATACAAGATACTGTTTTGAGGTTTCTATTTAGCAATAAATTGGCAAAGTCAAGACTATCAGCTCTAAATTCAAATCTCTTTCCAGTATAATAAACACTAACCACACAAACTCAAATAGGGGAAGGGCTGAAGAGTGTCTTTGGGAGCGTTCCTATTTGGCAGAACAAACTCTGCCCTGCAACTACTCTACCTCGTTACAAACACAGAAAAGCTATTGTCTATAAAAGTAGACATTTGGGATGCGGAGAAGAAAGCCTTGTCCTTTGATTTCTCTACGGTCATTTGTGAATCAGCTTTAGAACACATACAGTCTATTTTTTCATGAAAAAAAAACACAGACTCTGATCAAATAGACGTGCTAACGTTTCAACTCAAGTGTTCAATGCCTCTACATTTCTTTAGAGTGTGGATTTAGTGAATGAAATCCTTTCGAAATGGCTCTCATTATGGAGCAGGGCTGTCCAGCTAGGGAGAGAAGACAAAAGGAGAAAAGAGCGAAGAAAGGTAGTTTCGAGGGAAAGCTTTGGGGGAAAAGTATTGAATGGGGGCGAGTGCTGTACTGGCTCGACTTGACCCTGGACAGACTTCCAAGGCCTGGGCTTCGGTTAGTACCTTTAACGATCAGGTAGGCGATGGCGAGAAGAAAGGCAAGGAGGCCGGCGAAGAGCAGCGAACAGAGAATGGAAAGGACCTGGACGGGCCACCGCCGAGGCTGGCTTCTGGCGGCCGCAGTCGCCGGGAAAATGCCATTGCGCTTCTCGGGCAGGACGGGAGACCCGTCCCCGAGCCGCTGGAGAGGCGGGGCCCTCCTGGGCTCCGACAACGCCCCGGCTGAGAACTCTGCCCGCAAATCGCGGGCCACTTGGTCGCACCCCTCGTCCTCGTCGACATCGCCCTCACCCCAGCCATCCCCCCGAGTGAAGTTGGAATTCCCCCGCCGAGTCACGGGGCCGGGGGTGACCTGGCGGCGCCGTCGCGCGGACGCGGACACCGCACGCTCCATAAACGACATGGCGGGAAAGACGGAGAGACCCGAGGAGGTCGAACGTTCGCCGCAGCCCCGCCCCGTCCCGGCAACGGCCAATCAGCGACGGCTGCCGTCGGGCGAGACCAACGCGCGCGGGGCCGCGGGGGCCGGCGCCTCTTCCGGAGGGGCTCCTGTGGAGCGCGCGCCCGCGGCCCGCTCCCGCACACAGCCGAACTTCCTCGGCCCTTTCGGGTCCCGTCGGCGCGCACCGCCCGTCCCCCATAACAGCAGCTCCCCGGGCTGGGCTCGGCTCGGCCGCGTCCTAACTGCCAATCGCTTTCTCCCTCCGGCTGGCCATCTCCGCCCCTAGAGCTCCCCGCCAGCGACGCGGCGCGCGCCGCCTCCCTCCGCCCGGGCGCGCGCTCAGCCGCGGGCAGGCGGGCGGGCGCGCGCAGAGCTCGAGCTCCTCCCCCCCCCCCCGGAGCACAGGACCCCTCCCCACGCACGCGCGCGCGCACTAGGCCGATAACGCTGGGTGCCGCTTCCCCCGCCCCCACCCCACCCTCGGTGGCCTCAGGTTTGTGGGGCGAACGTAACTAGGGCGGGGGGGTGGCGAAGGTGGCAGGACGCCACTGCCGCACCCCCAGCGGGGTGCGGTGGTTCGAGCCCCGGAAGCCGGGTCCCGGCCGTGTCCCCTTTCCTGGGGGAAGTTGGTGGAGTTTTCCCAGCTCAGCCCTCGACGCAGAAACTTCCTCCGTCCCCCTCCCCCCTCTCCATGCAGGCGACGCCGTGCGAGGCCGAGGCCGGGGGCGAATCGCCGCAGAGCTGCGTGTCGGCCGCGCGCTCTGATTGGACAGCAGGGAAGCCTGTCAGTTTATTGGCCCCGCTGATCCCGCCCCGTAGCTCAGGGCAGCCTTTACCCTTTGGCCCCAGCGGGCGCCAGCCACTCAGATCGCTGCTTGTTGGTATGTGCAGCGGCAGTGGCCGCCGACGGAGCAGTCTGAGCCCGACGATGAGGCCGGGGACTGGAGCCGAGCGTGGAGGCCTCATGGTGAGTGAAATGGAGAGCCAACCTCCCTCGCGGGGTCCCGGGGACGGGGAGCGGAGATTGTCCGGCTCAAACCTGTGCTCCAGTTCTTGGGTCTCTGCTGACGGCTTCCTGAGGAGACGGCCCTCGGTAAGGGATCGGCGGGGTAGGGGAAAGCGGCACAATGAAAAACCGAGTCTGAGAAACAGGAAGCTTTCTCCGAAAGGAGGAGAGTGTACCAGGAAGAGCTGCAGATGGTGGGCTGCGTCCCAGGAGAGAGGGCTGGAGGGCGGGAATGCACAAAGACGGACGTGGGACCTGGGACATTCCAGGGGTCTGGGCCTACACAGACACCTTCGGAAGGTGCCGTGGCAGAGCCCTAGGCCTGTTTTACCGTCGGGTGCCTTAAGTCCCTGGGACTTGAGAGAGAAGCTGCCATAGTTTCTTTTCGCCGGGAGTAGTGGTGGGGGATTCTGTTGGGAGAATTGACAGCGGGTGTTTAGTTTCGGGCGAGGAACAATGGACATATGTCTGTATGTGTACGTACATATATATATATATCATCAGAAGTTTACGAAACGGGTCAGTTTGTTATTTGCATTTAGTTTCTGGGACAGAATGACAGTCTTGATATTTTACCTGTATTAACAGATTTGACTTCGGAACTAGTATATTTATCTCTAAATGAAGTTACTCTTGGGTACCCACATTCTGTTTTATGTCAAAACCTTATCCAAATTAATATAATTTTAAGTAATATAAGGTGACTATATGTATAAAGGGGACAAAGTTGTGTTCTTAAGTTGGAATTCCATAGCCACCAAGGCTAGGCCGTCATTTAACATTGAGCAGATGAGGGGGCTGTAATCCGATAATGGATTTACTTTGTTAACTTTCAGATTCCTTAAAATAACCACTATAGTTTATTTTAAGATTAATATTAGTATATGCTAATATAATAACTTAACTTGATATTGTGCCATATAGGTCATTGATTTAAAAAAAAAACATTTACTCAGTGTCTTTTCATGTTTTCATATTTTTCAGATGGGGCATCCTGGCATGCATTACGCACCAATGGGGATGCACCCTATGGGTCAGAGAGCAAACATGCCTCCCGTACCTCATGGAATGATGCCACAGATGATGCCCCCTATGGGAGGACCTCCAATGGGACAAGTAAGAATATGTTCTTTATTTAGTTTTGTTCATTTCTGTTTTATTGTGTGGAGATTTTAAAATGTAGTTCAGTGCTGGACTTTAGCTATTGAAGGGTTAGTTTATAGCCACATGTTTTCAGACAAGTCATGTTGAGCATCACTGTGACCAAATTTTGAATGTAGTAATACTGTACAAAAAAATTATTTTCCTCAACAAAATTAAGATCTAAAGAATCTTAAGTTGGATGTGGTGGCACACACCCACACGCGCCTTTAATCCTAGCACTTGGGGAGGCAGTGGCAGGAGGGTCTCTTGTGTTCAAGGCCAGACTGGTCTACAGAGTGAGTTCCCCAGGACAGCCAAGGAAACACAGAGAAACCCTGTCTTGAAAATCAAAATCTTTAAAGGGACATTATATGTGTAGGCTCCTTGATTTAGTGACTTTCTAGGTTGATTGTTAATGGTCTAGGAGTAAATATATATGTATATATTTTATATATATCAAATGATTTTGGTGAACCATGTAAATGCGTAGCATCAGAAAAATAGCAATTACTCAGGATTTTCATTTAGAATGAATTTTATTCTTGGAATATCTTCCTTTTGTTGGGTGTGGAGGGATTTTATGCTCTATTACTAATTCTTCCCTGGACAGTGCGAGATAGGTAGCTCATTTTCTACCTGATTTTTAAAATGATACTGCTTCTGCACTCCTAATTGTGAGTTGCCCCTTGTGTCTCTAGCACAAATTGAAAATGGACATTCTGTGGGAGTGATTTGGATTGAAAGATTGTAGCTGAGTCAGTGACACTGGTAGACAGAATTTCTATTTCTAATTTAGAAGTGTTGAATGAAGAAAGGCCAGAGTTTCAGTTCCATGAGCAGTTGTGTCCTATGGAAGGTTCTATAGTACACAGATCCTTGGGCAGGCTGGGTCATCCCATTTGAATGTCTTGATAAGTCATGAAAAATTTTGGTTAACAAAATATTATGGAAAACCAGTTGTATATTTTCTTTTGCTAATGAGTACTGTTGACTTTGATAATGGTCTAGGCAATGAAGACTAAAGTTATTGGTGAAATTGCAGTGGAAACAGGAGCTTGTGTTTTCTGTTTTTATTTAAAGTAGAATGGCTCAGTGTCAAGTATATATTTTTTTTTATATTTGGAATATAGCCCTTAATTTTGTATAAATTTCTTATTCAGAGGCACCAGACTAAAAAGGTTCTTCCTGCAGGAGTTCCTTATGTAAAAGATTCCTTTGCTCTGTTACTCTAGAATATCAGTACCTGAAGCTCCCTAGAAGATGCAGAGACAGCTCTGATCCTCTTCTGTACCTTTCCATCTCTAAGCAGCACAAAGCCCTTCTTGTTTTCTTGGTAGAGCTGCTCTAACTAGATAATGAGCTTTTAAAAGATATTTATTCTTTAAATGCTCTGGTTCTTATTTAAAATTAGTTTCTTTCCACAGAAAGATAAAATAAAACAATTTGCTACTGCCAGATGCTTCTCTCTTTTCTGGGGCCTTCTGTTTCCATTGGGCCAGTCAAGGTAAGTTTTGCAAGGGGTTGACCTGCTTACCCTTGCTGTAATGGTGCTGTTGCACTAGCAAACCTGAGATGCCAGTTAGTCATTTTCACTACAATGCTGACTTTATTTTTGAAGTAATTGGCATAAACTGGTCACAGTTTGTTTTATGGCCCCTTCTCTTTAGCTGTGCCAGTGACTGCCTTCCTAACAAGTTTACTTGCTACTCAGATACTTCAGATATTCTGAAGTTTGCTTCATGGTCTTATACTCCTTTTTTTTCTAGTCCAGTATGTTTATGCACCATTAAGTACACCTGACTATTTAAATGTTTAGAATTCTTTCTCCCTCTGTTGGTTCCCTGTGAGGATAATGAATACTTTAGGATATTAGCTCTGAAAGTCTCCAGAGAATAGCCATTATTTCATTTTCTAGTACTCATCCCCCCACCAACAAATTTGAGTCCTAACTTTTGGTAAAGCTAACTTTTTTTCAGCTTTATGATACTAGGAAGGCATGATAAGTTGAATGAATCCTTAAGGAATCTAGGATTCTTTCTCAAAGCTTTGTGAACTTTCTCCTAATGATGAACTGATCATTTTCCTATATCATTTCTTCTATTTGCATATGCTCAGAATTATTAATAAATAGTAGTCACAATGCAGATATTTGAGAAGAAGTAGGGTGTATGGTTCATGGTGGTGAATATATGGTCTTGCCATACATCTTTTTAAAAGTTTACTTAAAACTTTTTAGATTTTGGGAATGAAGGCTATATAATTTTCAAAAATAGTTGACTGTAGCTATAGGGTTCTTCATCCATTGTTTGAACTAACTATAGAACTCGAAAAATACATTTTTCCAGAACACAGACTTTGCTTTGTTGTATTCCCTATTCAATATATAAAACAACTATATAGTTACCTATGTATAGAGCGTGTATATCATATTAGTTATTACAAGTAATCTAGAGATAATTTCAATTTACAAGATGTCCATAGGTTATATGCATGTATTGCGACTTTTTTTTATGCAAGGGACTTAAGCATCTGGATTCTGATATGTACCAAGGTCCTGGAACAGGTCAGTCTTCTGTCAAGAGATCTGCTTTGTTGACCACGTCTAAGTTATCTTTTCTTAGACCAACCAAAGACTAAAATAGAAAGCAGTCTGTATTGCTGAATGGTTATGGTCTTTGAATGTTACTCAATATGACAAATTTAAAGCTTGTTTATAAAATAGTATGCAGACTAGACGGTAGTGATCTTGGGTAAAACTGGGGTTGCAAAATTGAAATGCAGCCGGGCGGTGGTGGCGCACGCCTTTAATCCCAGCACTCGGGAGGCAGAGGCAGGCGGATCTCTGTGAGTTCGAGACCAGCCTGGTCTACAAGAGCTAGTTCCAGGACAGGCTCCAAAGCTACAAAAAAAGCCTGTCTCGAAAAACAAACAAAAAAAAAAAAATGAAATGCAGCTAGTCACTTCAAAAAGGGTTTTGTTCAGGGTTTTCTTCACTTAGTTTATAAGATAAGCTGGAATTCCATTTTCTCCATTTCAGGTTATTAGTGAATACCTAGAAATAGCAAATGTAATTTAATTGTAATATCTTTTAAATTTTATCTCAGTTGCTTATCATGTAGATTAAATTATCTCCTAATGCACCCAACTTTTTGGGAAAGTCATACTATACTTGTCAGTTCTAAAATTCGAAGATTGTGAAGAGCCTTAGTAATAATTGAACTTTAAATAGTATGCAAGCTTTTGGAGGGGTCTCTCTTAAAAAAAAAAAAAGTATAGCCGGGCGGTGGTGGCGCACGCCTTTAATCCCAGCACTTGGGAGGCAGAGGCAGGCAGATCTCTGTGAGTTAGAGACCAGCCTGGTCTACAAGAGCTAGTTCCAGGACAGGAACCAAAACCACAGAGAAACCCTGTCTCGAAAAAAAAAAAAACAAAAAAAACAAAAAGCTATTTACTAAATTTTATTTTTCCTTAGTAACCATATTAAATACTTTCCAGAAGAAACTTCTGTCAATATGATCGTGTATAAGGCTGCCTTCCTCCATATCCATTCAGAATAAAACATATTCTGTCTTTAAGATGTTTTCTTGTTCTCTTTTTCTTTTTGTATGTGCTTTTTAACAAGAACATTAAATTCTGTTGTCTTTATCAACTGAGTTTTGCCTTTGCCCAACAGAGTTCTATTAGCTGGCTCATTCTTAAGTGTTTATTTTACTCTTATTTTAATAAAAAAAAATATTTAATGAATTAAGGCTTGAGCTCCCTTCCAGGTTTAACAACTTATGGTATCTACTTTCTTTCATTGATACAGAAATAAAATTCTTCCTAATTAATTATTATGCTTTTGGGGGGTGAATTTTTGATAGTACATCAGTGAGTGATTACATTTTATAGCTGAATTTAATTATCTTATTTTAATACTGAGTAAGACAGACTCACAGATCTTTAACAGCCCAGGTTGTGTGCCGTTCCCATCTAGGAAGCTCATATGTTTTTGAACTGGTTTTCTTCAAGACTTCAATCTATCAAAAAATGAAAAGTAAAATATATTTCTTTGCTCAATAATCTCCTTTATTTTTCTCTGTGGTCTAGTATTTAAATTCCACAGCTTAAGTTTGAAAGATCATCTCTAATACATGCCAAAACCATAAGTGATGCATGTTCTCTTACTAATCTTTTCATGGTGCTTTAAATGGTTATATTAGTTCTTTACTTTAAGCTTATGCTGCTGTCTTTGACCTCTTGATTTCATGATCACTGTCACCATGACATCTTTGCTTGCCTAAATTATTTCCTCAGAAATAATTTTGAACAATGTTGACTTCCTCTTTAAGTAATTTAATACCTATTTGATATGCTTGGAATTTTTACTGTTTTATTTTGGCACTTAGTGACATTTTCTTTATTTTTTTCCTTACTTTTTTCTGATTTCCTACGTTCCTAATAAATAAAAGAATATAAGCTCTTACAGAGCAAGAACCAAGTTGTTCTTGTTAATAATTTTGTAGGTGCTGAGCACAATTCTTGGTGCATTGTGGGTGCTGAGTAATACTTGTTGAATGAATGAAACAAATAGATACTATTTGCTACAATGTAAGGTAGAAAGTAACTCATCCCTGTGTGTCTCCAGGTTACTTGTGACTTTACATTGTTACTGTGTTTAGTATCTGAATCATTGCCTTTTCATTTAGCAAAAACAGATAAAATCAAGTAGATAAGGGGTTTCTTTTTCTTCTTTCCTTTTATTTTCAAGGAAAGAAATCTGAGTACTTATTTCATTCAGGCTGCGTCATGTCCTTGAGAATGAAATTTTTACATATACGACTATAACATACAAGGTGATTGGTAATAGAGTTTTCCTGAGTTACCTTACTGAAATACTTTGTTTTTATTTTTAATGTTAGCCAGTCTTAAAAGCGGCACATAATAAATTCTCAAATCTAGGTAATATCTGTGTATTTACGTTTCTCAAGCAA